CCCCAAAACCCCAAAACCCCAAAACCCCACATATAAAAAATAAACTGATTAATAGAGAAAGTTGTATTAAACATATATAAAATAATCAAAGAAGTATTTATTAATGAAAGGAGAGGTGAATCAGAAATAGAAATCTCAAAAGAGAGATAATAAGTAAAAGAGAAAGAAAGGAGCACCTAAATGGAAAAATGTTATTTAGGAGATTGAAACTATAAGAAAAAGAATCAGCGAAGAAGTTCCTCCTCCAGGTGTTCTTTATTACAAGTACAAGGCAAAGAATGAAAACCCAGAGGAAAAAGAAATAGAGAAGAAAAAGGAAACCTAAAGCTCAAGATTAATAGCCAATAGAAAAGTTATTGAGACTGACAATAAGAACTTAATAAAAATCAGATTCAGTGATTTACCTATTTCAAAAGCTACTAGCAATGGCTTGCAAAAGGCTAAATTTATTAAGATGACTGAAGTTTAAAGAGCTGCAATATCACATGCCATTGCAGGGAGAGATGTAGTTGTATGTGCGAGGACTGGTAGTGGAAAGACTTTGTCCTATTTAGTCCCTGTAATTGAAAAATTATACCAAGATAGATGGAGTTCATTAGATGGTCTTGGAGCACTGATTATTGTGCCAACTAGAGAATTAGCTTTATAGGCATTTGAAGTTCTGAGATCATTTGGAGGCATGCATGATATGAGTGCTGGATTAGTAATAGGTGGTAAAGACCTCAGATTTGAGCAGGAGAAAATAAGAGGAATGAATATATTGGTTTGTACTCCAGGAAGATTACTTCAACATATGAATGAAAGTGAAGGCCTCGATACTAGCAGCCTTAAAATGCTTGTTATTGATGAGGTCGATAGATTACTTGATATGGGATTTAGAGATTCAGTAGATCAAATTATGAGAAATTTACCCAAAAAGGTTTAAACAATGCTATTTTCAGCTACTGTCGGCAAGACATTGAAAGATCTGGCAAGAGTCAATTTAAAGTCAGAATTTGAATATATTTGCATTCACGATTTTGATTCAATTGAGAGCTTAGCTAACGAATATAATCCTAATCAAAGTGCATCTGACAAGCTAATTTCAGACCAGTTAAAATCAATCACACCAGTTAAGCTCCTGCATTTCTACATGCAGATAAATATTGAAGATAAATTAGATATCCTATTCAGTTTCCTTAAGAGTCATTCAAAGAACAAATGCTTAGTCTTTTTCTCAGCATGCAAGTAAGTTAGATTTGCATATGAAGCTTTCAAAAGGTTAAAGCTAGGAATGACAATGCTAGAACTTCATGGTCGTCAAAAGTAGTCCAAACGTACTGCAATCTATTATGAATTTGTCGAAAGGAAGTAAGCAGTTCTTTTCTGTACTGATATTGCCTCGAGAGGTATTGATTTCCCAGCAGTTGATTGGGTCGTTTAATATGATTGCCCAGAGGATTTGAATACTTACATTCATAGAGTTGGAAGAACTGCAAGGTATAAGTCTAAAGGAAATGCACTTTTATTTACAACTCCTGGTGAATAAAAAATGCTGGATAAAATATAAAATAGAGGCATTTAATTAAAGAAACTCAACGCTAACCCGAATTAAGCTTTAACCATCTAACCAACTCTTTAAAAGCTCAATGCTGAGAATAGAGATGTTAAGCATCTTGCTGAGAAAGCATGCATCAGCTATATAAAGTCATATTATTTAATGAGGGACAAAGAAACTTTTAAGTTTTCTAACCTTGATTGTGAAAAGCTTGCTTATAGTCTTGGTCTTGCTAACGCACCTTAAATAGGTTTCATTGACAAAAACAATGTAAAAAATCAGTAAAGAGAAAAGGATAATGAAAAAATCTTTGATGGAGAAGGAGAAGTTCCAAAGAAACTATCAAGATTATAAGTTTTGAGATAAAAGATTAAGGAGAAGAAAGAATAGAAGAAGCTTTAATCTGAGAAGCAAGAGTAATAAGATGAAGATGAGGTAGATGATATTGAAGTACATAATTCAGAGGAGAGTGAAGATGATGACGACTATGATGATGAAATTTCTGATGAGAGTGATTATAGGTCATAAGATGAAAGTGAAGAAGAAGATGACCAAGATTTCTTTACTTCAAAGAAGAATTAAAGGATGTTTGATGATGATGAAGATGAGAAAATAAAGGAGTAGGAGGATGATAAACTGAGAGAAGAAATAAAATAGTAAGAACTTAAGGTTAACAAGAAGAAACTTAAGAAAATAACTAAAGATGGTCCATTCTAAGGCAAAAACAAAGTATACTTTGGTGCAGATGGAAAACCAATTACTTCTTTAGAGTATCATTTGATGCAAGATAAAATAGCTTCTAATAAGAAGACTATTGAAGAGTCAGAGAGCGAGTCTGAGCCTGAGAGAAATATCAATCCAGAAAACTTTAAATTTGTGGATGAATCTGAGGTATCAGAAGATGAAAATGCAGAAGAAAAATACATTGGGAAAGTTAAGAAGGCTCTCCTGAAAAATGAAAGTTAAGATAAACTCTTGTCTAGATAAAAACTTACTGAATAGAGATTGAAGAAAAAGAGAAAGCTTAGACAACAAAGAGGATATGATGAGGAAGATCAAGTATAAGTTGTTATTGGAGACCAGTCAGATGATGAATAACTCGCTGTAGAATAAGATTCTGTGTAGGACAAGCAAAGTCAAGTTGAAGATGAGGATGATGAAGAAGAAATCATGCAAAACCTCAAAAATCTCAAGATTAATTAGAAGTAAAAGAAAACTGCTGAGAAGACAAAGAAAGTGGCTCTAAAGAAAGAAAGCAAATTAACTGAGGAATAGAGAGCTCTAAAACTGTTGGAGAAGAGTTTATAGTTTTGATGAAGGATTTTTTGAATTCTCAACTGAGTTTAATTAATAATTAATTTATTTATTTGGAATTAATAATTTACTTCAAAAATGACGAGTTTAACTACTGGATCACTACCACCAATTTATAATGGAAATGAAGAATGGAGGGGTTAGGCTTCTGCAAAATTCACCACTAATAGAAAACATATTCACGCCATCCAGCCTAAAGAGGTCCCTCATCCTTTGTTTAGTATGTATGGAAGAAGACACTACACATCATCAGCGACTCCTTCATAAGAATGGAAACCGTCAGTAAAGATTGTAGAACCAGTTAGCCATGACAATGATAGAATTATCGGTGCAAAAAAGATCATCACTCATTTCACCATTGTAAAGCCTCGAGTTGAACGAGTTCATTTCGTAGAAAAGTCAAGTTCTGGAAGTTTAGAAGATCTACTTTCTGGTAAAATGTTTTTACAAAAAAACAGAGGAGTTAAAGCTAAAATGATGGAGGACACAGTAAAGTAAAGGCGTGAGGAAGATAGAAAGCGTAGAACTCTGCAATATCTCCAAACTTAACCTCAAAATTAGCTGAACTTTTGAACAATAAGTTTAAATCAAACTATGGAATGATTATAGTTTGAGAAAATATATACATATAATTAGTTAAATTATGCTTCTTCGATTAAGTTTTAACTATACAACTTAAAATATATCTTTACAAAATAACATGCATTCAGAAGTATCAATCAAGAGTCCAAAATTACTTCCATTGCATATGCTTATAAAAAATGATATAGAATTTAGTTATTTCTTTTCTCACCAAGTTTTAACGTTGAGATAAGTAATTCTAAAAAGATCAATACTTTCATCTCTCTTCCATTCTGCTATTTACAGCCTTTGTAGATGGAATATGCCCACTGCCTATGTCATCTACATGAGGTTAGTAGCCTAGCTGCTCTGCATTAAGCATATCTTTTTCAAAGTAATTTTCATATCTCCACACTATCTCATCCTCCTTAGCGATAATTCTGTTGTTTTCGCAGAGGAAGGACCAATCTTCTCTTTTATTGTTGATATATGGAACCCAAATTTTTCCATCTACTGGGGCATCTTCATTCTCAATTGCCAGTCCCATAAGCCTTTAAACATAGTAATCAAAGTCTCCCTTTTTCTCATTCATGATAGCTATAAAGTTGGCATCAAATTTGTTTCCTTTTTCTGTCTCATCAAAAGCAATGCCATTCATAATTTGCATGATAGGCAACTCATCATTTTCTGTTTAATATGAAAATTCCTACTCAAAATCTTGCCTTGGATCTTCAACCTTTATTGTAAAACCTTTTAACTGCTGATTGCCTTTTTTATTTGTCATAATTCGACCGCTTGTTGAACTTGCACATCCCATTTAGAATAGTTGATTGAAATCTGAAATGGCGAGAATTTATAAACTTGAAATTTATTGAACAATTATACTTACCCTATTTATACAAATTTATTTTTACTCAAGTTTCTAACAACTTAGAATTTGAAGTTCGGGGTTTTGGGGTTTTGGGGTTTTGGGG